AAATCAAGAAAATCTTTCTAATCTTATTCCTAGTTAAATTTTTTTTTTCTATTCTAGATAACTTTTTCAGGACCTTTTCCTTCTACACTTGCTAGTAAACCTAATATCAGCAAGCATAGCCGACTCTTGAAATTTGATTTTATTCCTAATCTTGACAAAGCTTTTTGACGTTCGCTTTCACGAGACAAAAGCTCATAAAAGAAAACTTTATTAATCACGTTACTATTATTTCAATTCCACATTTCTCCTTTAATACGGGATAAATGTTAGTCCGAAAAAACCTTAACCCTTAAAGTCTCTAGCAGCCAACATATTGCCAGATCAACGGGCTAGAAATGGTAACACCACATAGAAAACTCGAAAACTTTCATTGTGAAAGTGAGAAAGAAAAAAAAGTGTTATTTGAACCACATACCTCTATAAGTTGAATCAACATACATATGAAAGAATAAAAGCATATTTTAGAGACATGTGCACTAATTATGAATAATTCTTAAAGCAAGGCAAGCACAAGTGAATCCCATCAATGACATGGCAAGGCGAATGACACAGGGCAACAATGATAAATCATGTTAAAGGCCTCGGCTCAGCATAGGATCAAACAGTAGGAAGCTAGAACTGCGAATGACAAAAGAAGGCCAATCAGTCAAGGCTAAACCAAACAAAAAGCAGCTTGCAGCAAGACCATTCATCCAGCAAATCCAATCCATTCCAACAGACACTCAGCATGTGCAAAAGACAGGGAAAGAATTAGTCAATGAGCAAGTCAAAGCTCGACTGATAAAAGGGGAACAAGTTTCTGTGAAAGCACGTCTGAAGGAACAATTTGTAAGGACAGTTGAACCAGCATTTTATAAATCCGAATTAACCATTTCAATTAAGGCGATGGTTCCTCTCTTTCATCCAAATAAATTAACTCGTGATTCAAACCAAGTAAGCAACGTTCAAAACCCATTAAAAAGTACAGGAAACAAAATAAAATTAATCTAACCTTCATCTTGATCAGTTTCTGTAGCTTTCACCACAAGCCTCCGTCCTAAATCAATTCAATGCAAATAAATAAGAAGTGGCCATAATTAGAATTAAAGTAAACATCTTTTAGAGATTAGAAGAATTGGATTACTGCTGAAGGAAAGAGAAATGGGTGGACCAGCAAGCTTTGGAGTTCGAAGCGAGTTGGAAGATGAGCGTATTGAGTAGACAGTGTGGAGTATAGAAGCCATAGCCAAAGCTTTAGCCGATTATGCAATTGGCAATAATATCTTAATAATCCAGCGGAAGAAACGCTTCCACACTGTATCAGATTCAGCAGCATCCCGATTCCAAAGAAATCGCCATTCGCGATCCCCAATTAACCCGGTTTGATTTCTTCAAATTTCGACGCCGTCACGTCAACCCATGGTGGCGGACCACATGGGTCGACATCGTTGGCCTCCGTTGCACCTTGCCCAGCAACGGACCCGACCCAATGTCGCCCACGACAGGTGGTGTGAATGGACGTGAGATAAAGGATACGTGAGAGAAGGATATGCGATGGTGGAGAGAAATGGAAACGAGAGTTTTTCCTGTGTTTTTCAAAAAATGCCGAGTTTTGCTAGAAAATACTCAAAACGTCTAAGCTCAAGATTGACCCTCAGTTACCTAAAAATGAACCTAAAAATGAAAATGGTGGGAATAGTATTTTTTAGAAAAATAAATAATTAAAAAAAGAAAAAGTTTTCGATTTATATATAATATTATTTTATGGAAGATTGTGTGGTTGAAAATAGGAGAGAGAAAAATGAAATGTAATGTAATTGAATTTAATGGGGATCAAACTGGGGCTAAAAACGAGTTTTGTGTACAATATTTTTTTTTTTTTTCAAAATTCATTTTTGAAAATGGAAAGGAGAACTCGTCTTCATCGTTTTAGAAAATAAAAAACAGAAAATGGCTTGAAAACGACAAAGAGAACAGGCACTTATTTTTTGTGTGGTTCAACAGTTCAAGTAAGATTAATAGATTTTGTGATTACGGAATCAAGATATTGATTTTAATTGTCTCGGTTCTAGTGGTGGCAATGGGCCCTAGTAGTTCGCGGGTTCGTGGGCTCGGGCTCGTAAAAACGAGCCCGAGCAACGAGCCGAACCTATGAATTGATTGACGAGCCGCTCGCCGAGCTGCTCGTGGCTCGTTCAAAAAAAAAAAAAATTATTTCAGTGACCATATATTTAGTGCTATTATGAACGTTATTGAGAAATTGCAAAGAGTACTTCAACCTGAATTTGGTGGTTTTTTTATTTCATATTCGATGTGTATGTCATATTTTAAATTTAATAGTACAAGATGGTTTAAAATATGTTAAGGATGAAATTCAACGAATTAGGGATGCACTAATTTATATTACTATTTCACCTAGTAGAAAACAAGCATTTGAGGACTTTTGTGCTGAACATGGGGTGTCGCATTAAAAAACTTTTATTAGTGACGTAGCGCATAGATGGAACTCCACATATTTATTATTAAAATCGTGTGAAGGTTTCGAACATTTAATTACTGAATTTTATAACAGTAGGCATTTTAGAAACGACGAGAAAACTGTTTTGATTGAGTCCGATTGGATTTTAGTTACTAAAATTAAACATTTTTTGAAATGTTTTTATGATGCTACAAATATTTTGTCTGGTGTTTATTATCCTACTAATTGTATGGTCCTTCAACGTCTTTATCTAGTTGTTAGGGCTTTTGATAGATTTAAAAATGACCCCGATTTTAGTTCAGTTATAAATGCCATGGAATTAAAGTTTAGAAAATATTGGGAAGACTTGGCCATGTTATTTCCGTTAGCATGCATCATGGACCCCTAATATAATTTATCTGGTACTAAATTTATAATTGAGCGAATGTCAGAATCTTTATCTTTTAACATACCTATTATCTATAGGAATTTGGAAGCAACTTTATCTGAAATGTATGTAATATATGCTTCACGAATGGGTACACAAGTTACTCGTGTACCCTTCAGCTCTACAAGTATTCCTCCCACTAATTTAGGAGATGACGACGCTGAAATTTTAGATTTATTTGAAAGTATGAACTCATATAGATATGGTCAAATTGGAAATGCATATGACTCCTCCAGTCATAGTAGTTTGTCTTCTACTGCATGTACTAGTCAAAATGCGTTGCCTGCTGAATTACTTGATTACTTTAATCATAATTGGCCTAGTAACAATGCATTAAGGAAAAATTCAGAAGAAGTAGTTGACTTCTGGCGAAAGTATGAACGCCGATGGCTAATAGTTTCTGCAATGGCAAAAGATCTACTAACACCTCTGGTTAGCACTGTAGTTTCAGAATCTGCTTTTAGTGCAGGGTATAGGGTTCTCTTTGATGTTAGGAATCAATTAAAAGAAGATGTTTTGGAAACATTAATGTGCGTGAAGAACTGACAAGACGCTCATTTTCGACTGCAAAATAAATATGCCGAAATTGCATGTAGTCAAGTAAGTGATATTTAGTTTAATCATATTTATGACGAATTTTTATTTTAATACCTTTATAATTTTTTAAAAAAAATTGTACACATAACAAGTTGTTCGTGTACAATTTTTAACTCCGCCTACTCGAAATAAGAACTACTGAAGTAGCCGGTCCCAAGTCCGAATAAAGGAGGAGGGTTTATATTTTATTATTTTTATTATTTTAAAAAGGAAATATATTTTGAAAAATCATTTTACAATTTCTCATATCATATTTAATTTTATCATTTATAAAATAATGATTTTCAATCATTATGTTTTCTTCAAAATAAACTTGAAAATTAAAATATATTAACTAAAAATTATTTATAACTTATAAGTAAAAAATTGAATTATAATTAAAAAAACTTATAAGTTATAAGTAAGTATTATTTATAAGATAAAATCATAAAAAAATACGTTATAATTAAAATTACTTATAAATTATAACTTATAAGTTATTAGTAAAACATACTTTATCTAAATAAATTGTTTACAAAATAAAAATACTTATAAGATAAAAATTTATCAAAATTGTATTTTTTAAAAAATATTTAGAAAGAAAACGTATATAAAAATTAAAAAAGGAGCTCACGAGCCGAGCTCGAGCTCGGCTCGTCCCCACCCACGAGCTAGTGGGCATAGCCGAGCTCTTTTTTTTTTTTTTCGAGCTGAGCTA